GTAGACCGCCGATATGAGATTTTCTATTAGTTGAATGATGGTGAGAATATTTTCCGTAACTTACTAATAATCTTCAGAAGATCGCATGAGGGTGCCAATTGGTTCTTCGACGGTTTATGGAGACTAAAGAATGTGTATCAATGAAATTCCTAAATTCAAGTCGGACTCATCCAACTTCATTTTCAGCAAAAATAAAACGTGACTCTGTTTTAGACATTTTGACATTATAATCCATGTGCCGTAAGATGATACAATACATGGCATAAAATCTCATAATTTGTTTATTTATGCATATATTTATCTGAAATTTGCTGTGTATATTACTAAAATATGTACTAAGTAATAGTGAAAATTTCAGAACGCAGTGATGTTTATTTTTCACACTAGACAACTTGTCCACGATTTTACGGGACAACCCTCGTATATCATATAAATGACTGTAATCATAAAATTCAATGTTCTGTAGGAACAAAATTAGGGAGGGGCATTCAAAACAAATCTGACGAGCAAAGTAAATCCTGGAATTTACTGGTCAGTGCTCCACCTTGCAGCAATAAATGTAATTTTTTACAGAGGGGAAGGGTCAACCAGGTTCTGAGGAAAAATTTATACTATAGTAAAACTTTTTCCAAAGAAGGCGGCAACCCCGCATTTGGCGGATCTGTTCATAGAAATACCCCTGTAGTCGTAGCCTTTGTTTCATAATGAGGACATTAAATTAGAAGTGCTATCATTTTATAAACTGATAATTGAATACACTGGATGGCATTCCGTTGAGTTTTTTTTTTTTATCTTGATGTACGAATTTTTTTTCACACTCAAGCAGAATGTAAACGATATTTTGTTATGTTGTTATTTTTTTTTTTAAAAATCATGCTTTCTTACCTTATTCTCATGCAATTCTGGATACCACATGCTCCATTAGTTGCAAGAAAGTAAATATTTTTATCTATGAAGCTAAAATGCCTGGGGTTAAACTTTATGCACAACAAGGTATAATTGCCTGCAATTTTAACATGCTTAAGTCATGCTTTAGTGAACATACAGAAATGTGCATATTTAAACAAATGTGATTACACTTTTTAATTTAGCAACAAGATTAACTTTAACCTTTATTAAAAAAACTGAAGTATGCAAGGATGGAGGAAATTAAAAGATTAAAGATTATTGCCCCAAATATTCCAAATTTAATTTTCATATTTTATAGAAGTAATAAAGGCTGTAAAGATATGTATAATATATTTATAAATAATAAGAGAGAGCCAATCAGTTCTGGTTAAAATGGAACGAAAATAATGTTTTCTTTGATGAAGCAGATTGGAATCAAATATTTGAACTTCCCTTCAAAGTTACTCAAGAATCCAAATTTCACTGGCTCCAATTTCAAATAGTACACATATTTATTCAAACAAATTATTATCTTTTTAGATTGAAGTTGATTGATTCACCAGCTTGTACATTTTGTTTAAGTGACATAGAAACAATTGACCATTTGTTTGTAGAATGTTTTAAAGTAAAAGATTTATGGTGTAAGATTGAAGAATGGGTTTTGGAAAAATTTGAGATTCATTGTAGTTTTGACAAACAAGCAATACTTTTTGGTAAATATGAGAACAGGAATATATGTAGATTACAAAACTTGATAATACTTATTGTAAAACAATTTATTTTTGCTAGTAAATATAAAAGTGTTCCAAAATTAAATATTGATATTCTATTAAAGCGGATTATAGACAAAATTTTTATAGAAAAGGTTTTGTTAATACAATGTTTTAGATAGATGGAATATGAAAGGCACTGGCAAAAATCTGTGATGTACTACTTTAAAAAAAATCATCTATTTTTATGATGAAATGTAATTATGTGCTAACTCTTAGGATTTACATTAACTGATTGCAAATATATGAATGAATTTTTCTACTACTGTTGACCTCCTCCTCTTTTTTAAAAACAACTTTCACGGATACAAGTAGACTTTCTACTGTTGTAAAAGAACGAAATTATCAAGAAATGCACCGTGTTCATGTATATGTGTTCATATGTTTTGCTTATATATATATATATATATATATATATATATATATATATATATATATATATATATATAAAAGTGGCGAATCACAATCACACGGAAATCTTCTTTTTATAATTTATTATGACGATTAAAGGCAATAACAAATCCACAAGGGTTAACAATCTCAATACCACATTGGCTAAGATGATCAGAATGGTTTCTGATATGTATTCAATATTTCTTCAATGTAAACTCAATATAAATTCAATCAACTCAATAATAATCAAGATCACAAAAACACTCATATATATAAAGTATCGAAGAAACATCTAGAAATAGAAACTTCGATAAAATTCTAGATCATCACATTCATAAATATTCTAGAGACTTCTTAATAATTAATTCACGAAACATTTAGAACATTCTAGATTATACCTGTACATCATTCAATTTCTAGAAAACAGTTATAATTGCGACAGTTCGCAACACTCCCAAGGCCAAGGAAAGTCAATCACGAATTTAGTTCTTTTGTCACTTCTGATTCATCAGTCCACACTTTTTCCCGAATCTTCTTTAAGAACAACATATAGTGTCTTGAAATTGTTTCCTTTCAAATTTATAGGATGTTTTTTCTCTCCATGGCCAAGTAACTCGATATCTGCTATTTCCTGTAATTTGAAAGTTTTTCAAGGTCTTTTCATCATCCGTCGATTGAGAATGGTCTTCAGTTCCAATTCTCAGATCCTTTGACGAAAATTTCAGGGGCAGACATTTATCAATTGACGAATGAAGACAATATTCTGTACTACAGTTGTTTCTGTTAACAATAGGTAACTTATGTAACTTATCTTTGGATGCCTCAGAATTTCCCTGTATTCTTCCAGTGAGAATCCATCCTACCTTTGATGAAAGTAAGTATAATCCTTGGTTAACTTCAATTTTTTCTGATAATATCAAATCGAGGTAATGGTCATTTCCAATAAGGATATCGATATTTGAATTTTCTGGAGTTTTTGGCAGGGTATCAGCAGATTGAAAATGTTTATATTGGTGTTGTACTTTTTCAGAGATGTTAAGTGGTAACGGTCTTCTTTGTATGGATCCAGTTATTTGAGGCACAACATTCGCATAAATTCTCATGAAGTGTCCATCCTTTAGTTTAATTCTTAAAGAGACTTTCGGTGTTTTCATTGTCTTGGGCTTCCTTACTCCAAATGTGTTAAGTGATATTTCTTCTGTTTCTTTCCTCTGCAAATTTAATCTCGTAACCAATTCTTCGGTAACATATGTCCTCTGAGACCCAGAGTCCATCAGAATTCTAACAGATTCAATTCTCCTACCTTTCAAATCAGATGCATCAGTTCTTGCAGTCTGCATTAGCACCATACTACTTGAGGAGAATAGACTGTTTTCTGGAACATTGTTAATTATTTCTGTATCATATATTTCTGATGTTTGAGGAAAATGTGAGGATTCTCTCGAAAGCGGGATCGTCTTATTGCAGAGGCTTCGGTGATGTTTCTTTGTCTGATGGCAGTGAACGCATGGTTTGTCTACTTTGCAGTCTTTGCTAAGATGACCTGGCCTAAGACAAATGTAACATCTTCCTCTGATTTTCTGTTTTCTCTCATCAATTGTCCTGAATTCTGTGCATTCATCACTCCAGTGATTTTGTTCACAAAAGATACAAATAGGATGTTTTCTTCCATATTTGTTCCTTGTCTGCGATCCTTGAAATAATGTTGTTAGGGCTTCTGCAGATGTATGTGTCCTTTCATTTACATAAGACATTTCAGGTGGAGAAGTGTTTCTAGCAGATTGTTCTTCATGACCGGCTACGTTTTCTGTATCTGTAGACTCTCTGGCTGCTATGTAGTTATCAAGGAATATTCTTAGCCTTTGCACAGTCCATTTCTCTTTCTTTCCTTTCTGTAATTCTAACTGTAATCTGGCTTCTTTTGGTAACTTCGTTATAATCATGGAAACAAAGACATCCTGGTTTACATCCTGTTCCAATGCTTCTAGGCTGCGCATATGCTTTTCTAAATCATCAAATAGTCTACGGAGACTGGAAGTATTATTGAGTGCAGGCTTAATGTTTATAAGGTCCACATAATGTTTGTTAATTACAGACTGCACATCTCCGAATCGTTCCTTCAATATGGAGAGAGCTACATCATAATTTTCATGGGAGAGCATGAGGCCGGAAATAGCAGATTGTGCCTTTCCTTCCATTTTACTTTTCAAGTAGTTGAACTTCTCAACATTGGAAAGCCTTGTGTTTTTGTGTACTGAAGCTTCAAAGGAGTCCCAGAACTCTTTCCACTTTAACTTGTCTCCGTTGAATGAAGGGAGCTCAAACTTTGGTAGTTTAACTACTGGAGTTTCTTTCTCTTTGCATATCTTCTCTTTTCTCTGCAGTTCCTGAATTTGGAGTTCTTGGAAATGCATCAGTTGTTCCTGCATTTTAGTCTGCAGATCTATCATGTGGTCGATTCGTGGGTCATTTGGTGCTTCAGTCTTCAAATACGGAATGTCCGCTTGTTCCAATCTTTTTTCCAGTAGCAGAAGTTCTTCTGAGCGCTCTGTAACATCTGTGAGCAATTCAAACAACTCCTCACTGTCTTCCGTAAATTTTTCAATTTCAGACTCATTGTCTTGTTTTGCTTCCAAGGCAATGGAAAGTTCTTTCATCGATTCTTCTAATTTAGCACTAAAGTCCTTTAACCGTCTCGAGGAAGATTGAATCTGCCTTATCCTGGTTGTCAAATCCTCTTCTTCAGCTTCTGAAGAAAGAAATGTCTTACTTCTGATCATTTCCTTCAGCAGTAGATTCTTGTACCTTGTACAAAGTCCTTTCAAGTATGAGGCTGACATCTTCTTCTTTTCCGTGATAACTGATTGATTTCAGGCTCCAATTCCCGGGTTCCGGCACCAAACAATGTGGCGAATCACAATCACACGGAAATCTTCTTTTTATAATTTATTATGACGATTAAAGGCAATAACAAATCCACAAGGGTTAACAATCTCAATACCACATTGGCTAAGATGATCAGAATGGTTTCTGATATGTATTCAATATTTCTTCAATGTAAACTCAATATAAATTCAATCAACTCAATAATAATCAAGATCACAAAAACACTCATATATATAGTATCGAAGAAACATCTAGAAATAGAAACTTCGATAAAATTCTAGATCATCACATTCATAAATATTCTAGAGACTTCTTAATAATTAATTCACGAAACATTTAGAACATTCTAGATTATACCTGTACATCATTCAATTTCTAGAAAACAGTTATAATTGCGACAGTTCGCAAGATATATATATATATATATATATATATATATATATATATATATATATATATATATATATATATATATATATATATATATATATATATATAAAGCACTAAAAATGACCAACGACACGAACAATAAAAATTGTCAAATTTTCGGGACGCCCTGTCCCTTCCTCAGGACAAAGAAAAAAGTTAAAAAGTCATAAGAACAAAGGAAAAAGAGAAACAAAAACAACTAGCACTACTACTAAACTACTAAACACTAGATATTTACATACTAATTACATGTTGAATTGGAAATTTTTAAGAACACTAATAAAGAAAGAAATCCGGACCGCTATGAAATGCGTCCGGTCTATCGGGTATACTCGGGTGAAGTGCGATTTACATAATTGAACGAATTAATTATGCTAATTAATTACGACAATCAGTAAATCGTACATTGTTTCATTCTCTCAAAATGGGGTAACTTTACTTAATAAAGAATAATCAGAGAAAAATCATACAGCAGGGATATTTAAACATATGAATTATGATCAATTATAAATTTTGAAATATTTAAGGACTTATTATCGGGAAAAAATAATTAACAAAGGCGTAAGCAATACATAGTTATGTGGGTTGTTCGAGAGTTGGTAACGCAAATTAACTGTAGAGTTTACACTAAATTGAGAGAATGATCTTGTTTAGTATGATCAGGAATTGGGTCTAGTTTACGTTCATTCTGGTGAAGTCATTCAGTTTGTTAATACCATTAGGGCGGAATGACTTCAATCTGTGCATCCAGAACTTTTCCTTGCTTTTCCTCTGAGCATCTGTCCATCTTGGGTTATGGTCAATCACCACTACTGTCATGTCCTCCCATTTGTGACCCTCAAGGTTGAAATGTTCCCCAACGGGTTCATTGAGTTTTTTGGTCCTAATGGTCGAACGGTGGTTATTGACTCTCCTGCGGAGATCTCCTGTTTCACCAATATACTGTTTGGAGCAAACTTTGCAACTGATAAGATAAATGCAGTTGTCAGTATGACAGGACAAATTCCCTAGTATTCTGTAGCTGCGGCCTGTAACAGGGCTGTTAAAACTGTCTGTGTCAGTGCTGTGCTTACAAAGAAGACATCTTCTGTCAGAGCAAGTTTTAAAGCCCCCGTTAGGTAATGGGTTGTCCAGTCTGGTTCTTACAACCATGTCCTTTAGGTTCCTTGGGCGTCTGTATGCAGCCAATGGGGGTTCCTTAAAGACCTCTGCCATTCGTTTGTTTGAATGGAGAATTGGTAGGTTCTTTTGAAGGATACCGCTAAGGTTCTTAAGGACGGGATGGTATGTGGTTACCAGAGGGACCCTGTCGCTATTGTCTTTTTCCTTGTAGCGTAATAGGTTTTGCCTGTCATGTTCCGCCATCTCATCAATAGCTGTTTGTACGGTGCGGGCATTGTAGCCTCTTTTGCATAAGTGGGACTTAAGAAGACCACTTTGCTCCTGATATAAGGCAGGGGACGAACAGACGCGTCGAATTCTGGTGGCTAGACCCTTAGGCACTCCCTTAAAAGTGTGTGGGGGATGACAGCTAGTGGGCATAAGATATAGGTGGGAGTCTGTGGGTTTGGTGTGGAGACAATAATAATACAATGTCTTTTCGATGACAATGTCTTACAAAACCATCTAGAAAAAAGATATAAGTAAAACAATATCATCAAAATCATTAAATATTTTGCTTATGTCAATGAAGCAATATATTTACAGAGTTCGTTGTCAACACCTTAGCCTCTCTATCCATGGTTTTCTGAATGAATTCAAACTTATTTATAAAACTTTGAAATATACAGCCAGAGAAAGTGATAAAATAGATGAGTTTAACGCCTCCTGGCAAAAATGGCAATCCATACTCTCAGACTAATATCAATAAACCCTGTCTCAAAACTAGTTTTGCTACCTACTCTATCTATAACCCACTTTCTTTTATAACATCATCTCTTTCTCTTTCTTTCTCTTGCATTCTCTCTCTTTCTCTCTCTTTCCTCTCTCTCTCTCTCTCTCTCTCTCTCTCTCTCTCTCTCTCTCTCTCTCTCTCTCTCTCTCTCTCTCTCTAAAAATGAATGCTGCAATGAAATATTGTGTTCATTTTGTATGTTTGTACTTGTATTGTGGAATTCAAATAAAAAAAAAAAAAAAAAAAAAAAAAACCATATGCATTAAAAATTGGGGCTTACCTTGGGGGGTCAACTTTTAATTTGCTTCCGACAGCTATGTACAATGTATTAGAAAAAAAGAGTTGGGAAGAGAGACCTTCTACTAGTCTTCTCCTTGTTCTAAATGAGGTTAAATGAGTACATGTAAATTAAAAAAGTTTTTATTACAAATTGATTCTCTCAATTACTAAAATCTAAGTCTAGAATATTTTTTGTTTATGCATATTTTTTCATAGTGCGTTAAATGCCCCCATGGTAAAAATGTTTATCTAAATTCTTAACGCACTTTGAAAAATTTTTTGTCCCCCGCTTGAAAAGTGGGGGATATTAATTTGGGTTTGTCCGTCCGTCCGTCCGTCTTTCTGTCTGTCTGTAACGCTTTCGTTTCCACACGATATCTCGAGAACCCTTTGAGCTTTTGCAATGAAATTTAGCATAGCAACTCCCTATGGACTAAAAAAGACCCCTATTGATTTTGAGGTCAAAAGGTCAAAGGTCAAGGTCATAAATAAGCAAATTCTGTCTGTTAAAACACTTTCGTTTCCACACGATATCTCTAGAACCATTTGAGCTATTGCAATGAAATTTTACATAACAACTCCCTGTGGCCTAATGAAGACCCCTATTGATTTTGAGGTCAAAAGGTCAAAGTTCAAGGTCGTAAATTTATACATTCTCTCTGTGTGTAACACTATCATTTCCGGGCGATATTTCAAGAATAATTTGAGCTTATGCAATGTAATTTTATACCAAAACTCCCTAGGACGTCTCTCGCCCCTCTCAAAGTGCCCCGCTCCGTTTGTTTTATTAGTATTTATAGTATTACATGTCGCTATTTTTAGCGCAGGGGCATGAGGAGAGTTATTGCGTATAAAACAGGTTCTCGGCGGACTTCATGTTCTTATTACATCTATTAGAACTGTTTAATAAAGGCTAAATAAATCAAACACCATGGATTGTGTAAAATTTTGAGAATACCGAACATGAAAACATGAATATATACATGTATGTGACTTCTATTCTGCATATACTTCACACCGTGTAAAGTGATTCCGTGGTCTAGTGGTTATGTCACTCGCTTCAACTGTGAGAGGTCCCGGGTTCAAATCTCGGTCGATCCGTTCTTTTTTTTTTTTTTAAATACTTTTTTTTTACTAAATGATAGTATTCAGCATGTGAAATGAAAAATTTATGAGGTTATAAAATCATCATTACAGTGTGATAAATATTCCATATAAAAAAATCTATACACATAATAAAGAATAAGCAATCAAATCTTTATATGCATATTGACATACATGTATTTTATTTGCTTCAGTATACATGTATACATTTAATAATTCTACAAATTCAGTCAGGGGGAGCCGACTTTTTCCCTAAGCGGGGGACACGAATTCTCTGAATTAGCTTGTTCAAAGTGCGTTGATATTGTTCCAATTTTAACGCACTTTGACAAATTTTTTCAAAGTGAGTAATTTTTTCAAAGTGCGTTGCCACAGACCTCCAAAACATCAAAGATGGGATCAGGTGCCATGAAGGAGTGAGCATCCCATGCCGACAAGTCACACCTGCCGTGTGCACATTTTCATGATCGGGAAATAACGGGAAAATCCGTCGTCAATTCAGTGTATAAATAAAATACTAACAATTAGTATGAAAAAGACCAGTCAGCGTTTGGCTCCGTAATAAATTGTATTTGCTGACAAGGTCATTGTATCGACCAAAAAACTTCCGAAATGATGACTTTAAACGGTAATGCTGATATTGTTTATACGTAGAGCATAAACTCCGTATGCAGGTGATGACTTCAGGTATATTGCTACATAAGTAAAGGGAAGTTGAGGATAGAAAAGTTCAAGTCATCATTGTTAAAATAAAATTAACGTTCCTTTTTTAAGTAAAATATCCAAATATGAAACAGATGTGTCAGAATCTGTTATATAACCCTGCATTTCTTTTCCCCTTTCAGTATCTTTTAGCCTCTGTATCTCTCCGCCTGAGAAAGGTCGAGGAACAAAATATCATCGACGACGAGATTGAATATACATGTAAAATTTAATTTTGTTTGTAATCTAGCCTCTCATTGGTTGATTTCCTAAAAGGAACGCAAATTATTCTGTATAATATGGTTTGGTATGGGGGACACACCCCCTTGACAACCAGATGAATCATCTGTATCCATGAATCCCATCATATTCCAGTCCTAGGGATTCATGGTAAATTCCAGATTTAATAAATGTACTTTTAACTTCAAACAGTAGCCTGATCTTTCCTCATGTAAACAAACATCATGACTGCTAGGTCTGTGTATCAGTTATTACCTCCCCTTGCTTCCCATCACTTCCATTACTACGGGTGTATTATTGAGCGGCAAATTTGAACTTTGAAAACTTGAAAATTTTACATCCACAGTTGTTTAATTATTCTTAAATTAAATTATAAGGAATGACTATAGTTCTTTGCCAAATTATCAAGTATAACCTGGTTTGGGTCAGTTAACACTTTTTTTCATAATCCGCTTAGCGATCACTAAACATCACACGCTATAATACAGCCAAAACTACACATTGTACACTATAATACAAATAAAACTACACATCGTATATTATAATATATATCGAACTATATATTGTATACAACAATGCATATAAATCTACAAACTGTACACTAAATTTCATATAAAAAGCTACACATCTTGTATATGTATTAAATATAAAGCAGATTCTTTGGTCAGTATGAAGACATTGTCAGAAAATGCATTTGTTATAGTTTATTTCTGGTATACCTGGGAATCTTTCTTGTGTCCTCTTTACAGATTTGTATTTATTTTTAGATCGTACCACCGTTTTGCTATTCTCGCCTTTTTATCTTAAATGAATATGACAATTCGACTTTAAAAATCAAATTTGAAACTTTTTACTTTCCATGACAATTTGCAAGCATACTTTCCATGGCAATTTGCAAGCATACATCATATTAAACACACATAAATGAACAATGAAAATTGCATACTAGCTACTAATTACTTAAGCTCCCTTGTGCTCTCAAAAGAAATGGCATAATCAATGTTTTAGTTACCTAAATTTTAAGAATATTAATTTCTCTTAGCTTATCATTTTGTTAGTACTAATAACTGAAATTTTATTAAACAAAAGCCTTGCGTCTCTCTCTCTCTCTCTCTCTCTCTCTCTCTCTCTCTCTCTCTCTCTCTCTCTCTCTCTCTCTCTCTCTCTCTCTCTTATATACGCATACACACTAACTTTACTAATATTCCTATGTTGAAGTTACTGTAAAACTATTAGGCTCGTTTGGGGTTTCTGAATTTTGCCATTCAAGTTCATTTTTTCTTGAATTGCAAATGGTGCACGTGAGCTTTTTATATAATCCGCGGACGAAGTTGATTGTCTCTTCTCGGAAGATTATATAAATCCATGGGTCTATGATTGAATTAGTTGTTGCCATTTCTATGTTAAGCAATTCAAACCTCGGTGTGCCCTTATAAGTTCCAGAAAGATGACCAAACATATTTATCTACAAATAATAAAAAATAAATGGTTTTTTTTCCTTTGCATTTCCCTTATTCTAAGTAACAAATGCAATTCATGATAATGAATCATACGGAATTCTTACCAGTATTGGCAGACTACATATGCTGTAAAGCAACACCACAGAGAAAAGGAAAAGGATAATACGAGTTCCGCGTGTGTTTACAATGGATTTGGAAGACATTGACAACTTGCTTTTGAGGATTACTACAATCAGGCTTACATTAGTAACAAAGGTAGTAATCAGTACAAGAAGTCCCACCAAAACATACAGGTAGGAAAATCCTTGATCTGTTGCATCCTGGGACTCAAAATTAACGAAACACCACGAATCCGGATAAAATCGTTTACTGGGTCTTCCCGCCATCAGATGACCAGACGATAGGAAAGCAGATATCACCCAAATACATAATAATATTACGATGCTTCGAGCTTCTTTTGTCAAAGACTGAAACTTGTATGGAAATATCAGAGCCAAGAATCGTTCCAGGGACATTGTGCATACGATCATTGCAGAGGCCATTATTGTAAACATTTGAATGACAGCCATATAATCACATACAGTCTGCGAATAGCTGTACTCGAAGTTTGTTGCGTATCTAACGATAGCAAAAGGTAGCGCCAACATCACACCGAAGCCATCTGTCACAGCAAGTCCACACACAAAGCGATAAAATGGCCGCCACTGATGCTGTTTCACAGAGCAACACACTATGATGACGGCAATACCATTGCCAGCAACTCCTAGAAGAAAAAGTAACACGGGAGGCACAATGGAAGGTGACTCAACAAGATTTGATGATGAATTGGAATGTTCAACTGACGAGGAATTGGAGCGATTAATATTGAGACCTGGAGTAGATGCCATCTTGTCTTTTTTGTAAAGGAAGCTGAAGATTAGTCTAATCCCATATACACGGTAGTAGATATCAAGGAAGTAGTTTCATTTTATGTTTAAGTAAATATAGAGATAATGTCCTGGTTATATGCATTATCTATGTTTTCCGATAATAAATTTAAAAAATACACATTTGAAATAATATAGTAAAAATAAATTTCCATATACTTACACATGTTATAGGTGCATAAGATGAATCCTACAATAACAACCTAGATAAGCTGCAGAAATATTTTGAGAAATTTTAATGCCTGTTTTATTTATCTTTTTTACTTTTGAACAACACTTAAATCATTTCTCATTACTCATTCTACACATTGAGAACAAATATCAGTGTTGTAATGTTTTAAAATGAAAATTTCATTCACCAAGGATATTTTCCTTTTAGAATGACATGAAATCTCACTTCAATCTTATTTAATAAAGACTAACAGCATACCGGTATTAAAAGATGAATCTGTTGCAATGAAATCTGCTAATTTACACCCCAAAAACCTTTCTATTCTGACTGGGAAATAAGAAGTAAAACTGACAGACAGACAATCTTGCATCGCGGGATCGAATCTTAATTCGGGACATTGAGACCGGCCCTTAGAATGAGACTACACAATTTGAGGCCCCGTGTTGCATTACAAGCCAAATACAAATCTACATTTTCAGCTCTCCGCCTTCAAGTGGTATTGTCTTAATATGAGTGAAAAATTCCGAAACCTTTCAGTCATTTGAGACGCCATCACTTGCCAGATAACTTAGACCTGTACTGGACTCTACAGGTTTGGGAATTTAGGGATCCAGTAAAAAGACTAAAAACTGCGACATCCGGAAGCTGGTCCCCATGTCCGGATTGGATTCAAACCCGCGACGTACAGAACATGCAGCTTCCTCGACTTCTTATGCAAACCATATACCCCGATAAAGTCCAATGTATAATGAGATTAACAATCCTGATAAAGACCAATATACATGCATAATGGGACTTTAACTAGAACAAACTTAAATATACCCTCGAATCATGAGTTTTCGTGGCATTACGGTTAATTTGTATTAAAGGGCTTCAAGACTAAATAATTGAGATGTTTGCTATTTATCACATATACAAACAATAATTCTCCTTATTTTAAAATGATTTTAACTCGCATATCATTTGTTATTTTTTCAGAAGGTCATTGAATTCTTGCATAGTTGCATAGTTGCTCTTTCAATTTTTTTGCTGACGTCATATGTTTTCGTGGTATTTATAAAACAAGTAAACTACGGAAATCTAGTCGGGCAAAATCCTTATAAATTTTACAGTGTCAAAAATACTAGTTAATTGACAAAATGATTACATTATTTGACATGGAAATTTATTTGTTGTTAATTAAGACCATCTATCAGGCATGCCTAAGCTGTATTGCTAAATAATGTAAAAATTGTTAAAAAAAAAAATTAAAAATGTATATTTAAAGAAATTAAATGTTTAATTCAATTGATTATCAATGGCACAATATTTTTTTTATCATATAACTTTTTAACACCCACAATATTTTCTTTGAAAATTATATAAAAAATGACGTTACTGGATCACCGTAGAAAAAAATATCAAAAGTGGGAAATTCCAAATTATTGTCACATGACTGGTAGCTGTATGGATAGTTAACAGACGATGATATGCAGGATCGCCGGCTATTAGTTTGTAAGTTTGGTATTCTAGTTCAAAACACGACGAATAAGCGTATATTACGCAAATTGTCAAATTTGCGAACTATGCATAACTCACTCGCTATATTTTATTTTGGCAAAGGCAAAAAGGTTTAACATTTGGTCATAAAACATGCACAGGGTTCCCCTTTATTAATAGCAAATATGACGTCATTTCGATCTCGCATTGTGCGATTATTCCTAAAGATAAAAAATACCACGAAAACGTATATGCCACGAAAACACATGAATGGACGGTACAATATCTGTGGATGCTTCCATATAAATATGGCAAGCCATGGGTTTGCTGTTATTGAGAATAATTTTTCTATATTTTCCTTTGTTAAACTTTGATTGTTCATCGTGGCCCCCACCCTACCCAAGGGGTCATGATTTAAACAAACTTGAATCTACACCACCTGAGGATGCTTCCATATAAATATAACCAATCATTGTTTTGTTGTTCTTGAGAGGATTTTTAAAGATTTTCCCTACATACTCCTATGTAGAATTTTGACTGTCCATTGTGGCCCCACCCTATCCCAGGGGTCATGATTTGAACAAATTTGAATCTACACTACCTGATAATGATTCCACATGAGATTTAATTTTTCTGGCCCATTGGTTATTGAGAAGAATAATGCTATTAGTATTTCGCTAATTCATAATTACCTCCCCTTGAAAGAAGACATGACCCTTTATTTGAACAAACTTGAATCCCCTTTACTCAAGGACACTTTATGGCAGGTTTGGTTGAAATTGGTCTAGTGGTTCTTGAGAAGAAGATGAAAATGCGAAAAGTTTACAACAACAATACAGAAAATGGACAAATTTCGATCAGGAAAGCTCACCTGTGCCTTCGACTCAGGTGAGCACAAATTAAATGACGGAGGGAACGCAACTATATACATTATTAACTAAACATCTTACACAATTATACATAATAAACTAAACATCTTACACAATTATACATAAAAACTAAACATTTTACACTATTGTGCAAAATAAACTAACATCTTGCACAATTATACATAATTTACTAAACTTCTTACAAAATTATACATTATAAACTCAACATCTTCACAATTTTAAATAAATAACTGAACTTCTTGCACAATTTATCATAATAAACTAAAAATTCTACACCATTATACATAATTATCTAAACACATTTCACTATTATGCATCATAAACTAAACATCTTACATAATTATACATATTTTTATGATAAACTTAATTTACATCTTACACTATTAGAACTAATCATCTTACACAATTATACACGTACTTAATAAATACATACATTATACATACACTAAACATCTTACGTTATTATACAGGTCTTCGGTGTCTTCTACCTATTCCCACTTTTTAAAAATCTCAATTCCACCTATTCCCACTTGCAAATAAAAATAAATGTTTTTATAATAATTTAATAACAGTAATTACATCAAATCTTGGATTTACCTGTATTTTGTACATTTGAAAACAGAAAATAAATAGTTTTAGAAAAAAATGATTTATTTTAATCAGATATATGCATTACATGTAAAAAAAAAAAAAATGCATATATTTTTAAAATTATTTTAAAATAAAGAGTTACAAAACCCTCTTTATATCTTGAATTTAAAACGTAAATTGAGAGGATTTATGAAAAAATGCATTAAAATAGCTAGCTGAATTTTAAGGAAAAAAACAATAAATAAAAATGATTTATCAGTAATTCACTTAAAAAATTCGAATATTCCCTTCAAATGTTAGTAAAAAGTCTGATTTAGAATTTAAAAATCCAATTTTCCTTAAAGGACGTTCGATCCTGAGATTTTGAGCGTAATTTGGTCAGGTCCTTTATTTATCATTTTAAGTTCTAGCATTAAATCTGAATTCCACAGTGCAAATTTAACTATATCCAATGAAAAAACAGCGATTAAGTTCCATTCAAGTAGAATTAAGATAGGGACTATATTTTGTGGCGGAAGGTTTTTCAGACGAAAATGATCAGTTTTTCCATTTTGAACTATAATAGTACTGTTAATTTTGGATTCCTATTTTTCCTTCCTGGTTGCTCAAAAAGCTGTTTTCTGCAGTTAAATGTGTTATGCTGGTTCTGAAATATCTATTAAATTATTTCTTATGAATTCTATCAACAAAGTGTGACAAATATAGTAAATATATTCTGAAAATCCGGGAAAAAATTGAGCCAATTTTAACGTAAAATTAACTTTTTTAGTAATATCTGAAAATGTACATCATATACCCCCGGTTTTGATGTTCTTTTCTAAATATTCAAGATAAATTTGGCCTATTTGCTTAAAATCAGAAAAAGTTTAAGACTTCAAAATAATTTTATTGCTTATTAAATTTTCAACGCCAGAAAAATCATTTTTTATTAGTGCATAAAGGTCAAATAATTGATTATGCGAAGCAATTTGATACTTTTTCTTAGTCACAATTTTTAAGTGTCTTTTTTTTAAACAAACTTAGAGTTCATTTTGTTTTATGCTTTAATTGGATAAAAATATTGGAGGGAAAACGTCAAAAATATAATTTTTAATTAAGACACATTTCAGTGCAAAAAGGTCATATTAATGTATTGTAGCGCCAAAAGAAGCGTATTGACCCCCATTTTTTGATTTGAATTTTAATTAAGCTATGTATGTAGAAACTAAAAATATACTTGGCAAAAAAGTTTAAGACTTTAAATATCAGGATCGAACGTCGTTAAGTTGTTCAATAATCACTATTTATACAGCAGTTATATGTTTATATAGTAAATTATTTGTTTACATAAAAATTCCACCTATTCCCACATAAAATGTTACATTTTCCTACCTGATTTTCAAAAGAGTGAGAATAGGTAGAATAAATCATTATGCATAATAAACTAAACATCTTACACAGTTATGCATAATTAACTAAACTAAACTTCTTACACAGTTTTACGTACGTGTATTTTGATAATAAAGTAAATATCTTACACCATAAGACATAATTAACTAATCATCTTACACAATTATACATAAAAGACTAAACATCTTACACAATTATACATAATTACCTTAACAGCTTGCACTATCATACATATAAAACTAAGCATCTTACACTTCTATATAATATAATAAACTTTACATCGTAAATAATTATACATAAAATAATGATTAAACATCTTATTCATGATTGGATGTAATTAACTAAACAGCTTACACTATTATACATATAAAACTAACTAAATATCTTACACTATTATACAGAATAAACTAAATATTTTAAATGATTAAACGATTATACAACATAACCTAAACACAATAATGCACATAAAATTTTACATCATTCCAAACCTTAATACATAAAAAATAATCTGAAAAGGATTTAATAAAGCATAATACTCCTTGCTAAGACCGAGTTAATACCTTTTTAATTTTATTTTCATAGATAAAATATCTCAGGGAGCTAACTTTTGTTTGTTTTCTTAAGGAGAGCATCAAGGGAAAGGTTCCACATACACAGATGGATGAACAAATTTAATGACAAATGAAAAAATTTGCAAAATTAAGCACAACAGTGTAACCATTGTCAAGTTAATTAAATATAAAAATTGTCTTTTCAAAAACACATACGAAATAACAAGGATTCCTCAGCAATTGAGAATAAACAATGCTTGCAAGATAGTAGAAATAGTTCTCAGCAGTATGTACATTATAAACTTTCCCCATCCAGATATTCCAATTAAACATGGATTTGTAATGTTTTTTCCTCGTTTAAAATATTTTCTTAAACATCCTAAAAAAATGACATGATTTTGATGGACACCAGCACATATATAAAACAATCCACAGTTTCGTATTGGGTATTTTACTACTGCATATGGAGTAATGTCTCCAATTTGATTCTTAACGCTAAAGCATACACTAGATAAGTAGAACAATTTCTAGAGTAAGGCACCCTATTGCCAAACAAGTTGGTGTAACAAGCCTCTCAGCATTCAATTTCGCAGTTTCTTTGGTGGATATGAAGAACTTGTCAGAAAATGCATGTCATAAAGTTTTCAATTCTAGTATACATGTACCTAGGATTTTTTCGTATGTCCTATTTACAGATTTGCATTACTAGTATTTTTAAATCGTACCACCATTTCGCTATTCTCGCCTTTTCATTTTAAATGAATATGGCAATTCGACTTTAAAAATCAAATTTGAAAATACTTTTACTTTCCATGACAATTTGCAAGCATAAATCATATTAAACTCATAGAAATGAACAATGAAAATTGTATATAAATTGTATAGCTACTAAATACTCAAGCTCTTTTGTACTGTCATAAAAAATGGTATAATCATTGCTTCAGTAACCTAGAATTTAAGAATATTAATTTGTCTTAGCTTATTTTTGTTACTATTCATAACTAAAGTTTCAATAAATAGAAGACTAACGTTTGGGTAGGCGTTAGAATTCGGAAAGCATATATATTGCAAAATCGTCAATAAAACTTCTTTTGCGGATAAAACAATCAGATAAAATACAGAGTAAATACAGTTTTTCTCTTCTTGAATTTAATGCAAATTTCTCTCTCACACACACCCTCCCCCTTACACACACACACACACCCTCACACACACCCTACCTCTCCCTTACTTACTCACACACTAACATTACTAGTGTAGAAGTTCGGGTTTTACGGACAGTGGATATCGGCCTGGATAACTCAGTGGTTAGAGCACCTGACTAGAAATACATGGGTCCCGGGTTCGATTCCCGGTCCAGCCATTTGTTTTCTTCGTGCATTTCTCCTTTCCTACTACATTTAGTGACCAGTGTGTGGGGCCTTGTTCAGGTTATAGTGTATGTGTAAGTAAGTGATTCCTGGCAGGGCCCTAGAACTTATGTCTTCGAGGTCGAAGACTGTTTAAGGAGGAAGGAATGTAGAAGTTGGGGCTTTACGGTCCGTGGATATTGGCCTGGATGGCTCAGTGGTAAGAGCACCTGACTAGTAATGCAGGGGTCCCGGGTTCGATTCCCGGTCCAGCCATATGTTTTCTTTGTGCATTTCTCCTTTTCTACTACACTAGTATTCCTATGCTGATGTTACAGTAAAACTACCGGTATTAGGTTCGTTTGGGGTCTCTGAATCTTGCCATTCCAGTTCATTTTTTCTTGAATTGCAAATGGTGCACGTGAGCTTTTTATATAATCCCCGGACGAAGTTGATTGTCTCTTCTCGGAAGATTATGTAAATCCAATGATTGAATTAGTAGTTGCCATTTCTATGCCAAGCAATTCAAACTTCTGTGTACCTTTAAAAGTTCCAGAAAGACGACCAAGCATATTTATCTGCAAGTAATAAAACAAAATGTTAATTATTTAACAAATCCATTATTCTAAGTAACAAATGCAATTCATGATAATTATTTTATACGGAATTCTTACCAGTATTGGCAGACTACATATACTGTACAGCAACACCACAGAGAAAAGGAAAAGAATAATACGAGTTCCGCGTGTGTTAACAATGGATTTGGAAGACTTTGACAAATTGCTTTTGATGATTACTACAATAAGGCTTACATTAGTTACAAAGGTAGTAATCAGTACAAGAAGTCCCACCGAAACATACAGGTAGGAAAATCCTCGATCTGTTGCATCCTGGGACTCAAAATTCACGAAACACCACGAATCCGGATAAAATCGTTTACTGGGTCTTCCCGCCATCAGATGACCAGACGATAGGAAAGCAGATACCACCCAAATACATATCATTATAACGATGCTTCGAGCTTCTCTTGGCAAAGACTGAAACTTGTATGGAAATATCAAAGCCAAGAATCGCTCCAGGGACATTGTGCATACGATCATTGCAAAAGCCATTATTGTAAACATTTGAATGACAGCCCTATAATCACATACAGTCTGTGAATAGCTGTACTCGAAGTGTGTTGCGTATCTAACAATAGCAAAAGGTAACGCCAACATCACACCGAAGTGTGCACAGCAAGTCCACACATAAAGCGATAAAATGGCCGCCACTGATGCTGTTTCACAGAGCAACAGACTATGATGACGGCAATACCATTGCTAGCAACTCCTAGAAGACAAAGTACCACGGGAGGCACGATGGAAGGTGACTCAACAAGATCTGATGATGAATTGGAATGCGGTAACTGGAAATTCCAGAAGCCCCCCGTTTTTTGGAGAATACCTATACAGAAGGGTAGAAGCCCCAATAAAGTGGTAGAAGCCCGTTAAAATTAAATGAAATGGGGTACATAAAACCTTAAGGTGATTTTAAATGAATGATATCGATATCTGTAAATTTTTATAGCCAATTTTACCTCAGAGTCGACAGAAATCGGGCGCCATTTCTTCTTGTCTTCACATACCGTACACCACGCCCGATCTAAAATCGCGATCGCTGAAGTCGTTTAGAGTAATCCGTGAAAATCATTACCATTATCTTGATCAAAAGTGAATAATATAATATATGATTTTTATTTTAAAAAAATATATATATATATGAAAGGAAAGTTAAGAATATAAATGAAGCATTAAATATTTACATATTTCCTAAATGAAATAAAATATTAATTATGAACATATTTCATGGCCTCCTTGAGTACTTTTATCCACACTGGTTTGTACCTACTAAAAAGAATTTTATATCGAAAATCATTATTGAAAATATGAAAATATTTTTATAGATGATGTGACTGTTACATAAAAACATTGAGATTTAACCTGTTGATAGAGATTACTGTAACAGTGAAAATACTAATTGATTGGGTGTTTTAAATGAATTTAACTAGGCAATTAATAATTAATAAAGTTCCTTTTTTAAAATTCCAATCATTTATAATGTAAAATTAAGTTAAATAAATTAATGAATAAAATGATTTAAGTTGTTAATTCATTTAATTTCAAAGGTATTTGTTTTGGTTTCTTTTTCTTCCAATTGTTTATTTATATTTGAAATTCAGTATTCATGCATCCATTATTATTTTCCAGTTACTTGTTGTAATTTTTTTTTTTGGTTCTGTTTTATTTGGGGGAGGTTTTTTTTTTTTTAATCATTTTTTTGTTCATGTAATAGAACAAATTATACTCATTGATATTAGAAAGCAATATGTATCCATTAGAATGAAATTATTAGAATCCAGGTCCAGGAAATAAAAAAGTTACATAAAAATGAATAAAATGTGCATAATTGCATATGCAAACACTTGTAAAGTGGGTTTACATCAGCTAGCTGTGTTGTTATGTACTGGGATAGAGAGACACGCCTGCGTGTGTACATGCAATATATACACAGCTGTTGACACTTGGTCAAGTTGACAATAAACTTCTTTTGATCAAACACCTGTTCTCAGCTAGTCTGACCAACCCCCCTCTGGCAGGGCATGTGTATATATACACTGAACCTTGACTATGCTCAACTGTTCTTGACTTTCATTATCAAATTGTAAAATAAATGATTTTGTAATATAATCTTTTTTTAAAAATAATGTTGATATGAAATGGTAATATGCTTTAAATACAAATTTTCATTTTAAGGACGTTAGCACACACATAAGGAAAATAAGGAAAATATGAATTTGATAATTTTGATACTAATATTAATAATGATAACTTAATAAAGACCTTTTAAATTAGTAATACCTGGAAAATATTCATAGTTTCCTTATGTTCCCAGCTCTAGCCACGTGGAGGCCTCCTTAATTGTAGAGCCATGATTTGAATTTTGACACAGAAAAATATCACAGCCAAAGGACCGAAAGATTAAAAGAAAATTAAAATAGATTAAAAAAAGACTTATTTTAATAAAGATACTTTATCATTATTTCTAGTCAATCTTTTGTTCATGTATAAACATATTACAGCCAAATGAAAGAAATTGACTTAAAATTAAATAACATTATAAAAAAATTCATGGAAAGAATTTATGATTTAATTAGCAACATTAAAAAAAATATATGTTCCTAACCTAACCTAATCTAACACAACACCAAACAGTATTCACTTGTTTTAATGGTTTAAGACTGGTTAAAAAGTGTTTCTGTAAGTGGGAGAAAAAGGTATATATTCATCTTCTCTGTCAGATATAGTGTTAGGAATCCAAAACATTATTGAAAAACTGTTAAGAAATAATTCGGTTCAGAAAATATTTATTGGAAGTCTGTTTAGGCAAATGATTTGTGGAACCATGGATTCAGGAAAGTACAATTCTACTGTTTTTGACATAAATAACACACTACGAAGAAAATATGGGAATTCACAGAATGTGATATTTTGGAGAGATGTAGGGGTTTAATGAATTCAAATAAAAACATTTGGCGTGAAGATGGGATAAGTTTGAACAGAGAGGCAATGGAAATTTTTAGTCGACAGATTCAACTGGCAATGAAATGTAACATTACATAAAATACCTATGCTTGGAGATGATAAAAGATTTTCAGTTCACTTAACCAGACTGAGATTTTTTCGCAGTTAAAATTCAATCAAAACTTCCGTGGTGTGGTTTTTTTTACTTTATTTTTCTTTTTTTAAATTCATATTTGTTTTAATTTAAAGACAATTCAAAATGTAAACAACTGATGTAAAATATTTAAAACATCTGAATTTTTTTCTAAGAAAAGAACATAAAAAGGTTACTTTGAAATAAAATATCTATATATATATATTTGAAAATTGATGTATTCTTTTAATTTACTATTTCTTTCCAGGTTTCAGTATTTTCATATTTTGACATTGATTTACTTTTTGTTCTCTTTTAACATATAAGTAATTATTATTTTCATTTTTAAAATTTAATTATTATTATTATTATTGCTTTGAACCTTAGAATTTCATTTTATATTTCTAAATTCATAATTTGTCTAAAATCTCAAAAATGAATTCAGTATTTTCATATTTTAAAATTTATTTATTTTTTTGTTTTCTTTGAAACATATAAGTAATTATTAATTATCATTACTATTTTTTTTATTATTATTGTTGCTTTGAAGCTTTTGGATATAATCATATCTCTAAATTCTGAATTTCTCTAAAATCTCAAAAATAAAAAAAAAAATCTTAAATTATCTTAATGGCTAACGTTCTTAATTAAAAAAAAAAATTATTATATAATATTTGATATATATCTTGCATAACAAACATATTAAAATTAAAATGAATAATTTTAACTTTATCTATACGATGATAAACAGCAGCTCGCTTCGAAATTAGATCGGGCGTGGTGTACGGTAAACCAGTAATGGCGCCCGATTTCTGTCGACTCTGAGGTAAAATTGGCTATAAAAATTTACGGATATTGATATCATTCATTTAAACATCACCTTAGGGTTTTATGTACCCCATTTCATTCAATTTTATGGGGCTTCTACCACTTTAATGGGGCTTCTACCCTTCTGTATGGGTATTCTCCAAAAAACGGGGGGCTTCTGGAATTTCCAGTCACCCATTGGAATGTTGATTTTCCATGCTTACATTGGACGACATTTCGATGATTTGATATTTCATAAAGGAATCTGAGGTCAGTTTTAAACCTTTAATGACGATAGATGAGAAGGAAGTAGTTGATGTAAACGTGTCGATGTTTATCTCTTTACATTTCAAAAAAACAATTTCCTGGTTATATGCACAACTTCAACACATTTTTACGAATTAAATTTTTATTCTATTTTTCCTCACTTCTTGTATTTTTATCAGTTTTTACAAATTATGCATTAATGCCTCGGTCTGAAGAGTTCCTGGATTATCATGTTTTATAATATTTTTGTGCTGGCTCTTCCTCCTCCCCTTGTTACATGATCTGAGCTTATACACCTTACATTATATCGCACAGGGAGGGAAAAGGATTGGGTTACATTGTCTGATCATATCATTGTCTTTTTCCATTATTTTGTTCAATAAAATAAATGCATTTCTGAAATATCTATCTTCAACTTTCTAATATTGACCAAAAATAAATATTTTAAAATAGTTTATGCATTGCAATTATCAACATGTATTTTTTTTTAGATGTCTGTACTCAAACTTATATGATTTCGTGGTCCATGAATCGAGTACTTTCAATGATACATAGATATGTAAGTTAACTAATTAAGTGAAAACTCAAAAAATATATTTTCTGTTTCCTGTTCATAACCATGTTGTTTTAATTTCCAATTCTTGTTTATTTGAGATTCTGTAAAACGACCAGCTTAGTAACTGTATGATACCCAATACAATTGGGTACAAGCACACCAAAGAAAACATGACTCCTTTCAGATCCTCAAGTTGTGCCGCATTAAGGGGGTTAACCGAGGGGTTGGTCATGTCACCTGTTGATTTTTTTAATCTGACTGCACCCATATTTGTTTAAAATGGCGACAACCAACATTGGAGACAATGAAATGGCAGGTTTCACAAACAAAGCATTTGTCCCGAACACCATCGATGATATTGGATGCCTGTATTAAATGTAGAAAAAAAATAAAATTGTTTTCATTTACTATACATGATAAATACTAATTCTTATCGGTTAAGATTCATTTTATAATTTGTTACAGTTGAGGACCGCCTCGATTTGACAATTGTTCTTTTTTTCTTTTGGGTGGGTGTTAAAATCAGTGTTACCCAAAAGAACATGCAATATGATATACTGTCATATTGTAATTTTTGTATTTACTACCACCTGGTAAATTCAAAAACTGGAAGGGTACCTACTTCCTATTGCATTTGAATATTGAAGACTAGAACCACTGAACAATTACTTACTTTCTATTGTATTTGACCATATTTGCATCAGCAATATCAGACAAGGGAAGATTAAACAGTGAAAACGTACCATTGGCAAAACAGCTGGGAAA